TCCAGACTCAGAATCATTTACATAGAATGTGTTTTCACCGAATGTATTAAATTGATCGATAATTACAAGCAAACTCCATTGGAGCTTTACATTGAGCGCGGCATGGCATCTGGCTTATAAACCTGCAGTATAACCATGGTCCCCATTCGGAATGCCAATCGAATTCAGATGGTATATTTCCTGGCTGGATAGGAAAATGGATAAGGGCGAGATCACATTGGTAGAGCTTTTCAAATCTTTCGTTTTCTTTATTCTCTATTTTCTTAATTTTATGTTCTTAGCCTATCTGATTCCTTGTGCACGTATTTTGTTCCTTTTTCCCTTCATTCTTCCTCATGTTCCTTCCTCCCATCAGAGTGATGGACCCTGTAAATATTTGGAAACTTCTTTTTCAAGTTAGTTTATGGAATAGTACGAATGAGACTTGCAGTATGATATAAAGGGATAATACGTATAAGGGACACCACACTGGCGAGTGTGAAATGAAATGCGGTCATGAGGGCGGTCATGCCATGACCCCGCTGAAATTCCCTTGTTCATGCTTGTCCCATGATCATTCATGATTAATTGCCTCCCAGGTACATGATTGAAAAAAATTACCTCACGCAATCAGCAAAACAATGTTGTGTCCATATTGAGAAAAGGTTGAAGGCAATATTGCCACAATTTTGAGAAAATGGTAATTTTTCAAGTTCAATCATGCTACGTAAAGGACCCCCAAAGCCTTATTTTTTCATTGAATCACAGGTTTGAGGAGTGGGTTTTTTTAACGCCTGGAAGATCACCCGTAGTGAATGCATGGAGGGCAGGAGGATGCCAGCCCGTGTATATACGGGCATACTCGTTAAAGGGTTAAATTGAGTACTTATATGACTCAACTCTCTCTTTCAGTAAAAGGAACCGACTGCGCAGACATATTTTCGAGCTCTATTTTTTAAGGAAGAGCTCGAAGAAGCGTGGGATTGCGCCATGTGGAGATTTAGGAATCTTGAGCATGTCTCCTCGGACCAACTGGCCAGAGGTACTTCGAGTCTACTTCTGCCTGATTACCTCGTTAAACAGGTCTCTCTAGAAATTCCTATACATTCCCTTATGTTGTAAATGGGAAAAGATCGGGTACTGTATAAAAAAAATGCAGTGTACTGTTTAGTTCAGGGAATCAGGGTAATTATCGCCGAATTGGCGGTTAGGCGCCATCTCGTGTCGATTCGTGGAACCTATTTTCTGTTGATATGATGTGGATAACTCCCTGTAGAAACAACATTGGGAATACGATGCCAAACGAATTTCCTCCAAATAGCCTCTGAACGACTTCCCTAATTAACAAGTAGTCAGCAAATGCTGAAAATACGGTAAATTACGAATAACTAGCATTTAATCGATGTTGATTTTTCGGCCAATTCTTAACTTCAACCAAGTCTCAACGTTTCAACCTTTTCTCAATGTTTACACAACGTTGTTGTGCCGAATGGGCAGTAACAGTCACAAAAAAACTGAAGTTCTCACTTTATTTATCCTTCTTCGTCGACCTAGTCAAATTTTATAAGGAGGAGAATACAATCGCATGCGAAAATGTTTTTATACCTGCTTAGTTAGGAGGTCTTCAAGGCTTCGAATTTCAAATAGTGACACCGGAAACCCACATTTAAGGTACCCACCTCGACCGAAAGGGATTCGCATCGACTGAAGGATGTCTACGGTCGAAGGGAGCCGTCCAGCAATTGCACACGCCAACCGCAAACCTGGAGGATGTTTTCTCTGACGCACGAAGCGCCGAGAAGTCCTTTCTTGCGGATGGCAGGAGGCCACAATGGGTGCATGAAAAAGTCATGGCCTGCCTTTTGTAAGACTCCGCTGCATGATAGAGATGCAGGAGTAACATGATAATTTCTCGCTGCCATTATTCTCTAATCTGTGTATTGTCTAGGGTTGAATGAAGTCAGAAAACTCTGGAAGCCTTCTTTGTCTTCCAATCAATATCCCAACGGTGCGGAGATAGACGTCAATTTGACGGCAAGAGGACGTGCTCCATACCTTTTTATTTATTTAAAGGAATTGATGTGTGTTACCTGTGTCTTACCAGAAGGAAATAAATTATTTGGGACACGAGGGAACTTGAATTGCTTGTGATTGGACTTTAAAAAAGAAGAGGACATCTGGGATGTACAGGGTACCCCATAGTAAACGCCATTTCTCTACAACTCGATAGACTAAGATTGAATGCTAAAGTGTAACTACAAAGCTGTTCATTTTAGCAATATTGCGCATTATTATTCCGCAATTTTTTTCAATGCAGATCGCGACCAATATTCTAACTTACAATGGGCCTTTACTAGTTGAATATTCGTTGCATGGCCATTGCTTCATGGATTACCCCTTGCTTAGGGAGTAGTTCTCATTCGGGAGGAATGGATCGCTGCTAAGTTACAATCTAAGCTAAGCAGCGCTAATGATGGAAATTCCTATCGCCTTCATTGCAATGTTGGGGTAAAGTGGTTGAAGAAACAGCGAGTGATCCTTCCTCAAGGGATCTTGGGTTGGTGGAGGGATAACCCAGTACCTAATTCAAATCATGAAGGAAATTTAGTGCAGTCGTGTCGGTCATCAGTTCCACCTCGCCACAGTCGGACCAATATCGAATGAGACTCATCGCCTCCAGCCAGATGAGTGAGTACGGCATCAGGGAGGGAAACCGTGTGGAACGGGGAAGATTGCGAGGGCCCGAGTTCCTGTGTCCCGACCGTGATTGTCGCCGGAAATCCTCATTGAGGGCCTGAAAGTTTTTTGAACCGGGTGTTTCACATCCAGACTTGGTTGGAGTCGGTCCTCTGTTGAATCCTCGAGTATCCGATGATCGTCCTCGTCCAGGAAGTTGAGCAGCCTCGAACACCCTGTCCAGCCTTCTTGCCCTGTTCCGGGACCTCCTGGACGTCTGGAGGCCTGCTTAAGGAAATTCGGAGTCTCGGAGTGGACTGGAACACGTCCTTCAATTGGATGATTCTCGACGAAAAATATACGTAACTAGCGAGTTTGTTTGCCCGAATATTTGTTTGCCCTTCGGGCAAACAAACTCGCTATTGTCGCGCCTTCGGCGCTCCATTAAAAGGATAGTGAATCATTCAATTTTCAAAGTGGCAAAAAGGTATTAAAAGTATGTGCCCATCGGAATATGTATCGGGAGAGAACAAACCGAAGTTTTCATCAGAATAATTACCCGCATTGTTTCTTGTGTGCTTAAATTCATATTTCTTCATAATATGCCCTGAGGGGGCATATTTGAAAAGTAGGACATGTATTCAGCAATCGAACAGGTACTTCTGTTCCAAGTTTCAACTTTCTTCTGTTCTGTCCTTCATTGAATCAGAAAAGTTTCCGGAAAATGCACCTTTTGGAGAAAAAAATGCCCTCAGGGGTTTTACCTAAAAATTAACGTTTTACTGAAAACAGTATTCGGAGAACTACGTTTCAGCATTATTCGTTTGCTCATTTTACTGGTGCAAAAATATATTTGGAAAAGTCAACACAGCCAAAAGCTGTGCCATGGGGTATACACCACAAAACCTGATTTTTTTCTGAACTCACCATCCACTCAGTTATTGCTGTGCCAGGCACAGCAATAACTACATTTAACTACATCTGTGTGCCAAAAATTATTTGAAAACGTCACCCCCGAAAAATATTCCCCAGGGCATGTATCCAAAGCTTGACATTTTCCCTGAACTTTGTGTCTCAATAGGTACGTCCATGCCAAGTTTCAGCTTTCCATGTCTCTCCATTTGACGGAAGCAAATATACTGTATATCATTGAAAACATCTCCCCCCAAAATGGGTGCCCCCAGGGCATGTACCTCCAAAGTCGGATTTTTCTGAACTCCACATTCCAATAGCTACTTGTGTACCAAATTTCAGATTTCTAACTTCTCTAGAACATGGTTAGAATTAGCGTCAGTCAGTCACTGTCCCCCCCTCCCCAGGGCCCGTCCGGAATGTTTATCCTCTTCTATTTCATGGAGATACGGGCTCAAGCTTCCGGGATGTCCCTCAACTTTTTTTTTTTTAAGTTCCTGATAGCGTACTTCCGTTTCCATGTGGTTTCTCTCATCCCTGAGAGCATATTTTTTTTTCCCGTTTTCACTACGGTAGAGCACACTAACTTAATTATAGTATCTTCTCTACTCTTTTTTTGTCACACCTCGCAACGAAAGCCTCGAAATTCATCGTTTTCCTTTTCGTGCCCAAAAAATGTAACAAATTCTTGCAATGTCAAAAAATGTATTTTCCATAAGGAAAAACGTTATAGCACGTATTTTTGTTTGATAGCAGACATAATTTTAAAATGAATTTCCCTGGTTGAAGAAAATTTTCGAAATCGAAAACCATGCGGAATTCTCGGAATCGCACGAGTCTGAACAGTTTCGCAAGAAAGCCAAGAAATTGTATCATTTTTCGCTTTTTCTTGATTAGGAGTTATCCGCAGATCGAAGCCATGACGCGATTGCGTTATTATTTCCCTAAACACGTTTTTCTTTTGTTTTCCTTTTTTTCCCTCAGAAAGATGTCCAGGGTGCTGTGAGGTTGCCTCAATGTCCTTCCAGTCAACTGTAGGCATATATATATATATATTTTTTTAAAGGACAATACTCCTTCGAGTGCATATTCAAGCTAGTGCAGTTCTTCTTGCCGAAAGGATTCCCAAATCTCATGCAGGATGACGGAATTTCCGCAATGAAAGTTTCTAGCGAGGGACTGCGGTAATTCTGCACAATTGCATGAAATGAATATCTGATTTTCCCTCAATTCCTCTCATTTTCCCTCAAATCCTCCCAATTCCCCTCAATTTCATTCAATTTCTTGGTAGCATTTTTGCAAAGTTTGTCCAATAAAAGGATATCTCACGCCCGTGACTTCCACGCAAGTAGAATCGATACGAGCAACCCCACCCCATGGCTCTGCCACTGAGGCATTCCCGGTCGTCCGTGGTCTCACGCACGCACCCTCGCCTCTCACGCACCCTCGCCTCTCACGCACCCGATGAACTCACTCTTCGAACTCAGCCACACTGAGCGTTACTCCCTCTGCCTCCCTCCATTTCATAAGGAGTAAGTCCTCCCTCTTTCTGTCTTCGATCTCGATCGCCTCTCAGTGAAGTCAGTATCAGGAGCAGAAGACGCCGCTGTGCTTCAATATTTATTATCGCTTTATTTATTATAAATTGTACCGTTTGGTCTTTCAGACGATATCTCGCACGAAACCCAATAAAAATCGACCGTGACTGTTCAGGCTTCGGCAAACATATATTCGCTCCTAAAATCTCCGCTTCACTCTCGGTTTAAAATGAAATTATTGATTTCGGTCGAAGTCCTTTCAACTTGAGCAAGGCGACCCAGCGAAGCCTTGCAAGAAACCACGTATCGACTTGACATGATAACCGTTTCAACCCAAGGCCATTCTCATGGTGATAACAGGGCCATCGTCTGTGCGAATGGCTAAACTGACGGAAAGAGTTTGTGAAATTTCATCACTGACAGATTCCATTACTTTTTTCAATCCTATGATGCTCAAATGATTTCAATTTAGTAATTATTGTTTCCTGGTAAATGTGAACTCTCGCAACGCTTCCCCGACTTTGCAAATTTGGCGCCGGTCCCCTTTCTTGAAAGCTTCCTCATTAAAAAGTTCCACCTTTAACTTCCCTCTGAGAGCATCAAGAGGAACGACATTGAGCATGCTTCTTGCTCATCACAGAGTCGCTCCAACGAATTTGAAGCTCGATCTGCCTTGGGTTGTCAAGAACACAGGATATACTTTTGCAAGTTTCTCCTAGTTTTTTTTTTTCTTTCATCCCCAAGAAATTACCAGTAATTTATTTTGAAATCAATGCCTGAGCCTTCTGTTTTTTTTTTTAAATCATAAATATAGATACATATTTTTTACGTATGATAAGGACACGCCGTGCACGGACACGCTTAAATTAACAGGATGGCGTCCAACATGCATTCTAATTTCGTCGGCAGTCCGTCTGCAGGCCTTGTCGAGATGGTTCGAGAGACTCTAGATTGACACAAACATTTAAAGTCCTCGCTGAAATGGTTCGTGAAACCCGAAATATGGGCAATGGGCCCAACGTTATACGACCATTCGGAGATGTCTCGAAAAGGTCCCGTTAGTCGAGAGTCGAGATTCTTTAAAGCGAAAGGAAGTAGGCATAAGCCTCACCTGAATATGTTCGCTGGTTAGCCCTCGGTCTTGCGTTACGAAGTCCGGTGGAGAGAGAAGAGGAGGAGAAGGATGAAGAAAGGGGAAAGCCTTTGAAATATGGTTTTTACCCTACTTCATAGCCCATACGAAGGCCTGAAATAGCGTTATAGCATAAATACGAATTGCAAATTTTACTGAAAATTATTTGTAAAACTTTTTCAAAACCTCTTTTCTCAATATAACGACTCTTTCGCGGTTTCCATGGAAAATAAACCGAAATGGCAATGTTATTTGGCCAGTTTTTTCTTTGGCTCTATGTTATGGTATATATAACTTTTGTTTCATTCTCTAAAGGGAGAAGCTACATACCGAATCTTCAATTTTTTGCGGGTTTTGCGAAATTTGATCCCAGTTTTTTCTCCGTGATTGTCTTCGTGAAAAAAGTTGTCCTGTTGTATGAAACTGCATTCCAAGGTCTTTCGGTAAAGCAAGTTCGTCCTGTTCTCATAAGGCATCGAAAAGTTACGCTTCCTTAAAACATCTCAAGCGACAGCCTCAGCTCTTCCCGACACAATTTCTCATCCTCATTAATTAATTAGTTAATCGTAATATTTTCTGATTCTTCCTCCCAGACCATGAGAACCCGCCTAGCGATCCAGCTCCTGTCGGCCTTGCTCGCCCTGTCCCTCACGCTGGACTCCGCGGTGGGCCAATCCACCGTCCAAACGCGATGCCTCGAAGCCTGCGGGAGCGGGAAGGAGGCGACGGAGAACTTCTGCGGCCGCCTGAGCGGGTACCCGTCGCGGGTGAGGGCCGCCTGCGATGCCATCGCGGAGCAGGCGCCGAGTATGTGCGGCAGGTTCTGCAGGGTTTTTGCCAGCGTCTTTGACAGTATCCTTGACTGAAAGTGACTTTGGCCGTCGGGCGGCGAGAAGTATGAGAATAAAAACTCGGGATTTTCCTCACCACTCGGAACTCCAGTCTCGAGATGTCGGTTAACCTTGAAGCGGTGAAGGCCGAACCCGGATCTTCCCAGATGTAATCAAATTTGATCTTCTAATGTTACTAGTGACTTTGGTCCTAGATGCAGTTGAAGTGGGCATTTCAATGGAAGAGATTTTTCGGCTCGAATTCCAGACCGAAGCGAAACGCATCGACCATGCGCCTCTTGCGTCGCATCGTACATTATCCCACTTTGCACAATGATGAAATATGGCAGATGCACGCGGGAAAGGATAGTGATTGCGTGGATCGCGAGATTACTTCCTTACTCGATATCTTAAAAGAAAGAAACTACGGATGTAAAGTTTCGTGACCGAATGCATGAGGATCGCAGGACCATTTGCAACAATGATTGAAACAGACTGTTAACGGAAAGAACGACGTTCCCACTGTTTCTCGGATTTGGGGAACTCATTCATCATCGATTAAGTCATCCACTCATTAAGCCGTCTGCTCTTCCTCGAGAATGAAAAGGATCAATCGTTTAGATTGGAAAATAAAAACATTTCGAGTCTGGTAAATTGGTCGAATACTGATCAGTTCATGAACTATCAAAAGTTTCAATACCTACGGTGAAAATGAAAGGGAAAAAGTGATGATGTGGATCGACATGGGGGGAGGGGGAGGGGGGAGGGGGGGGGGAGCCCAGCTCAGCCTCGAGGTTCAAATGCTGAAACGAAACGTGCAGGCTACGAGGCATCAATCGGGATGACGGACTGGGCGTCGTGAAGACGGACACGTGGAGGGCGTTCGGTCGCGTTCTGTCGGCGTTCGGTTGCTTTCGGCTGTCTTCGAGTCCTGGTCCGGATTCCTGGAATTAAATTTTCCTTCGACTCGTTAGCAGAAGATGGAAACGCGCCGGTGGAACGGGACATGCGGAGGCCACATTATTATCCAGACGAGACTTACCTGACGTCAACCGCTCACGCGTCGAATCACAGAGGGATGATTTGTGGCGAGGGTAGTTAGGGTGGAGGAGGCCCTCCGTTCCCTCATCCAAGCTGACCTCC